AATTTGGCCGTCTACAACTAAAGTCGGAACCAGAACCGTACATCCACAAACAGTCATTTTTATATCGACCATACTACTTGGTTGCGTTCTCAATCCACCACAGCCAACTAGTATTACATCTGACGGTTTGGTCACCCCATCTGACGTCATTAAAACTACCCCAGCTTCCTGTAATTTAGACAAAGCGACAGGACTCAAAGTGCAGGCCATTGAGCCACAATCAATCATACCCCGAACAGTCAGTGTGTTCTCCAAGACGACATCTGTATAGAACAAGTCCTCATGCATTGATAGTTTGTGTGTATTTTGAAGAATTACAGTCACGTTTTGATCAGTATCCTCCCGGGCAGCAGAATATAAGGATTCCAGATCCACATTGTCAATTGACTGGGGAATTTTATCAGGCCCTGCATATGCGGGCCACTTAGTTTCCCTGCTGACCAGAAGGATATGCTGTCGACTGTGATTTGACACGCCCCTTATCAACAGCATTTGGGCACTCAAAACGTGTGTGATTTGGGGCATAGCATATAAAACAGAGTCCATCTGCTCGACAATGGTGGGAGGTTGTGTGATTAACGTCCCTACATACTTTACACTCCCCCCTCCCATCTGCTCTAGTTTTGACCCTCATACGCACAGGTATCTCTGCAGATTTCGCCCCTTCACCAGGAACCTTTTCCAATACTCGTTCTAAACGCGAGATCAGGCGTTCTAAGGATTCAACAGAATTGTGAACAGAAGACTGCTGAACTTGTGGAATGCTGGCTTTGACGATTGACGATTCGAGACTACTTGCTTCATTATGATCATAATGCAAAGGTGGTCTGACAGCTTCCTGTTTCTGAGCCAAAAATAACAATTGATTTTGAGTATATTTGGCTTCTCTCTGAAATTCATCCAACCTTTCTTGAATTTCAGCAGCTGTCCACTGTTGTTGAGGTTTGCATTTGAACACAAGCTGTAATTGAGGGTCCGGGCAGTATCTAACAAACATTACTGATACCTCTTGAGATGAATTATCAAGTTTTTTTCCTTGAGCTTTCAAACAGTCTTCTGCAACATCCATTGCCCTATTTAGCCTGATCCAATAATCAAACGGGCTTTCTCCCTTTTGAGGCAATGTGGCGTAAAAATCAGCTAATGGCATAGCAGAGTATGCCGCTTCACTGAAATGCTGCTTCAAGATGTCATAAATAGGTCCTGGACCTGTACTCAAATCAGTTTTCAGGTAGTTGCGGAGAGCAATTTTAACAACATCACGTGCTCTCCCCATTAACCTACCCAAAACTTCCTCAGCCTGACATTCCTGACTATACTCACGCTTGCGCAAATATACAGACATTAATTCCACCCATTCATGTATAGTGCATTTATCTGAGCCGTCCCCACGATAGTATTCTGGCTCTTTTACATCAGATTGCAACATCAGTTTCAAATTTTGAGCATCAAATGACGCTCCAGTGCCAGTGTGTCCCACTCTCGATCCGTCCCCACAACCTGTTGTCCTCAATTCCAGACAAGAAACTATATTCTCACTTATAGATTTACCTATTTCTTTTACCACAGTAGTTAACAAATCAACAGGAATACTTCTCTCAACAGCTGGGGACCTCCATTCATTTTCATCAGGTCCATTAAGTGAATTTGCTTCACAAGACCTAGAGCGTACCCGCGGCGTGGAAGTTAAAGGGTGTGTAGGAAAACCCCTACCCATGGAAAACGTTGAATTTGTTTGACACACCCCTCTCCCTCGCCCCAAACCAGTAGTATTAAATTTTTCCATCCCCTGTAAAAGTCAGTTGTTAAAGTAATGAAACCAAACCATGAAATATGAAAAAAACAATGTCAAAATCACCTTAAATGATATAGTAAATCAGTCTACCCTCATTTAATCACATAACTCAGTTCAGTGTTCGTAATGTTAGCCTATAAAAATGCGTGCAAAATGTAAACAACCACCTTTCTCTTCTAAGCTTAGCGGCGACGATTTGAAGTCTGCAGGGACCAAAACTCAAGTGTCCGTGTCACTCCGAGCACCGCCACTAGAATGTCCGCGTCCCGCTGGGCCTCCGAAATCCGCCGAGCAACGCCAATCGAATGTCCGCGTCCCGCTGAGCCTCCGAAATCCGCCGAGCACCGCCACTCAATTGTCCGCGTCCCGCTGGGCCTCCGAAATCCGCCGAGCACCGCCACTCAATTATCCGCGTCCCGCTGGGCCTCCGGAGTCCGCCAAGCACCGCCACTCGAATGTCCGCGCCCCGCTGGGCCTCCGAAATCCGCCGAGCAACGCCACTCGAATGTCCGCGTCCCGCTGAGCCTCCGAAATCCGCCGAGCACCGCCACTCAATTGTCCGCGTCCCGCTGGGCCTCCGAAATCCGCCGAGCACCGCCACTCAATTATCCGCGTCCCGCTGGGCCTCCGAAGTCCGCCGAGCACCGCCGCTCGAATGTCCGCGTCCCGCTGGGCCTCCAAAGTCCGCCGAGCACCGCCAGTCGATTGTCCGCGCCCCGCTGGGCCTCCGAAGTCCGCCGAGCACCGCCACTCGATTGTCCGCGTCCCGCTGGGCCTCCGAAATCCGCCGAGCAACGCCACTCGAATGTCCGCGTCCCGCTGGGCCTCCGAAATCCGCCGAGCACCGCCACTCGAATGTCCGCGTCCCGCTGGGCCTCCGAAATCGCTTAGAAGACCGATCACGGCACCAATGTAACTAGTCTTTTGCGTCTCTTCTGCGTTGTGTAAATAAATATTCACTCTGATATATCTTTTATCGATTTTATTACTGTGGAAACAGTTAGAACAGAAAAATGAGCGCAGATCTAATCTACCAGCCTCGTGCAATGGCTTCCTCCTACATACTACAATGAATTTCCTTTCTTTTTAGGTAACAGAGGGGGCGCTCTACATATAAAACAATGAATAAATGTTAACCCCTTCCTTCTCATTAGTATTTTAATGTATGCAAGTGGAGAGATACAATATAACCCTGTTACACATACACACTAGATAAACTATGACTGAGGCTATTAACTAAGGCAAGCTCGCGCAACTGATGACAGGGGACTTTTGTGGCTGAAGTCTGAGGAAGAAGCAGTGCATTATTATAAGCAGTTATTATTAATGGCGCTGAATCGGCCAATAAGAGCGATCATATAATGAATGTTAATCCACCAGCCGAGATCAACCGAGTGATTTCCGGAGAGCGCTGAAAGACTCGAAGTGGATCTGCGCCACAGATACACCATACACACTCCATTTATAGGCACACATCATACACTCTATACATATATACTCATGATACACTCTATACATATGCTCATGTGATACACTAAATACATATGCACAAGTGATACACTCTATACATAAACACACATGTGATAAACTTTATACATATACCTACACATGATACACTCCATACATATGCACACATGATACACTCTATACATATACACACACATAATACACTCTATACATAAACTTAATATATAAAACTGTCAACCTAATCAGATTGCTGCTAACTTCACCGTGAAATGTTAAAGTCGGTCGTTTTTCATTGGTGGAGGACTTACAGTAGATGCTTTTATCAGGTGAACTCTCAAAATGTACTTTGTTATAGTCAATTATTAGACAGTCAATATGAATTTAGGTAGTGAACATAATAAAAACATTGTGGAACTGAATGGTAATCATGTCCGACCATGTCCGTGCATGCTTCACAAATGAGATTTCGTCTAACATCTTTGTTTCACAGGAATCACATTTAAAACTAATTAAACTAACGTCTCTGAAAATTGCCAAGCTACATATAAATAACATTCTGTTTCTGGTTTCTTGAGGAAATGTGGTTATAATTTCTGCATTTTAAAAACAGCAAATCAGTTCAAACCAAGATGTACAGTAAATAAAATGTAAAAACCCAATGAAATATTAGTACTAGTATTAGTAGCATATTAATAGCATTTTGTTTTGTTATGTCATGTAATGTGCTAAACACAGCAAGTTTGTGACTTTGTAATATTTAAACAATTTTAAAATCATTTTTATACCACCAATTACAAAAAAATAGCAAATTGTTATGTTTCCCCAATTACCCAGAACATTCCTGTGACCCAGGTTCCTACTTCCTAGAGTAGATTTATTGAGATGAAACTTCAGAATCTACAAAGGAATCTTTGTTATTCCTTTATGCAAACAGTGGAATCAGTGGTTCCTCTGGACATGTTGAATCACAAACAAGAACCCAACTGTTAAAAAGACATTTGAACAGTTAGTAGACATGCCATTCTTCATAAGGGTTTGTGTTTGTTTGTGGCTTTTCTCTCTGGCTATCTTTTTATAAAAATTGTATAAAACTCTTTTAAATTGTCATAATTGTTGATAATTATTTTGAAGAAATGTACTGTAAATGCTGCAGTCATGTTTTAATAAATAATTTTTAATGGCTTTTTTATTGCAATAATCTTTAGGAAGCTAAAAGTTGTTTGTTTGTTTTTACTACTGGCAATATTTTGAAGAAAGTTTTTTTTAAATAAATATTGTATTTAGTATTACTGTTCTAAATTCTGTGTACATGGACCTCAGTGGGCAGTGAAGGTCTTTTTTTCTCAGTTTTATCATGCCAGAAGGTGAAGAAACAGTTCTATTTAAAGAACAGTCCTCGTCATAAAATAATTTCTGAAAACACCCACAACCTCACAACCATGACATAAAATGCAAGGTAATATATGTATATATATATCATGCTCACGACTCATTTTTGATCACTGCATCTCTGAATTCAGCGGTAAGAAACTTAAAATTGACCAGATTAATATAACTTTAAATAAGCAATTTAAACTTGTAACAGTTAATTTGTGATACATAGTCTTTTTAGAATCCCAGGTTCTTGTACTTGAAAATTTGACAACAAAATTGTCAGACAGAAATATATTTTACAGATTTATTTGATTTTATTCTATTATACATATTTACATTTTCTTATCTCACTTTACTGTAGATCATGGGGCAAAACAAGGTTTATCTGTTGGTTTTCTGGGCATTGCTTCTGATAATAGTTTCTGGAGAAGATGAAATAGGCACATCAAAAGAGTGTGAAGATGCTCCTTTTGTTCCACGATACAATCTTGCTGGAGAGGGATTTGATGTTGTGACCCTGGAGCGCAAAGGTACTTACGTAATCAACATGGAAAAATGGGATTTAGGGAACAGCACTTGTGCACTGGTAGAAAATGATTATTTGCCCGGGAAAAAACAGAAGCTACCCGTTGCAGTTAAGTTCTGGAGGACCTTGCCAAAGTGTTCAATGAAAGTCTCCAGTCAGATCTTTGAATCAAGTGAAGCAGTGGTCAATGATTCGTCATCAGCTCTCTCGGCCAGCTGGAAAGTGGGTATAGATGTCAAGGCGGTTGGAGCTGCAGTTGGAAGCACTCATTCCAGAGAAGCAAAATTTGCAATGACAAAATCAAAAGAAGACAAATACAGTTTCACCAAACATCAAGTTGAATGCAGTTTTTACAGGTGAGAGAGAGCTGGGTGGTTAGCTATGATATAACATATATATATATATATATATATATATATATATATATATATATATATATATATATATTCCACTTCTTTATAGTCATTCCTCTGAATATCTATTTGAACTGTATTTAATGTTTCTGTACAGATATAATGTAGCCGAAAATCCTCCTCTTCATGCTGAATTTCTTGAAGCAATCAAATCCCTCCCTGCGTCCTATGATCGAGATGCCTACCGCAGCCTGATCTATACATACGGCACTCACTATACCACAAATGTAAAGTTAGGAGGGCAAATTAAAGCCATAACAGCCATTAAAACCTGTCAGGCAGCAGTTAGTGGACTTACAGACACTGCAATCAAAGACTGTTTGGATGTAGAAGCCTCAGGTTCATACAGTGTAGCAACTGTGAAAGCAGAGGCTCATTTTTGTAAAGAACAACAAAAGAAAATGGGCACAAATCAGAAGTTTAGCAGCATGTTCAGTGAGCGTCAGACAGATATCATCGGAGGAAACATAAATGGAGAACATCTGCTTTTTTCTGGTTCATCACACCCAAATGCTCTTAATAGCTGGCTTGAGTCTTTAAAGAGCCTCCCTGATGTTGTGCAGTACTCTCTGAAGCCCCTCCACTTCTTACTGAGTGCTAAACACCCTGCCAGAAAAGGGCTGAAGAAAGCTGTTGAAGAATACATCATTGAAAATGCCCTCATGAAGATTTGCTCTGAGCCTTGTAAGATGGGTAGAGAGGGAAGTGCAAGAGATCGTTGTGCATGTGTTTGTGAAAGTAGTCAAGTTATAAAGTCCAACTGCTGTCCAGCTGAAAACGGACTTGCCACCCTGAAGGTCTACAATCTCAGAGCCAACGGTCTGTATGGAGATGTAAGAACTCAAACAGACGGCACTGTATTAGTTAAATATGGCAAAACAATCAAGCGCACTGAAACTATTGATAATAATGACAATCCACGATGGCGAGACACGTTTGACTTTGGTCCTGTTAAGATCACCATGGCCGAAAGACTATGTTTTGAAGTATATGATGCAGATAGCAACTGGAACAGTGATCTTCTTGGTAAATGCTCTTTTAAACTTAGAAGTGGAGTTGTCACTGACGCTTGTGTTTTTAATTATGGCACCTTCTTTTTTACCTACGAGGTGAAATGTGCACCTAGTCTACAGGGCCCACAGTGTAACGAACACAAACCTTCACCAATGGCTGCCCATCTGGCTGACATTTTCAGCTCAAGAAACGGTGTTCTGGTCAAAGACATGCCCAGGCTAGAATTAGCTCTCAATAACTCAGATAAAATCAACCTCAAGCATGCTCATGAAAAGATTACAATGCTGTGAACTGCACTTTAATCTTTATGCAAGACAAATCTCCATAATATAGTTTAAGAGCACTTTCATCAGCTTAAAAATGCATTATTAACATTTGCATTGTTTCCATTGTTTTTATTGTATGTGTTATGTATTAATAAAGCATTCCCAAAGACAGATCTTTTCAAAATATTTTTTTATACTTCTTTTCGATATCAATGATCCATGCATGCAAATAATAGCAGACACAAACACACGTCTGAGAAAAAACAAACAGATTTCATTTATGTGTACTGTGTATTTGTACAGATTTTCCATATATTAGGCATGTAGGCTGTGAAGCTATTTTGGCGGTTCTAAAACAGGGCCGCCAGATGGTGCTTGGGGTGCCGCAAAGAATTTCTAGATAAGGGGTAATCAACAGGCCCACCTGGACTCATTTTGTGTCCTGCGTCATTCTGAAGGTCAATGCATTTCTTTATTATAATTTGAGCTCAAAAGTGTCACAGATATTAAGATTTATGTTAGTGTTATTTAAACTCAGTTGATATATTTGCATGCAAAAAGTGAAGCACAGTGCCAAAACGCTATATGCACGGGGTCTTTTACTGAATAAGTGCCCCTGGCTGGGCCCTTCCAGTGACTTTTGTCGCTCACCTGCTGCTCCTGATGTAACATTTGCATTTGGATGTGACCTGTGAAGTCACGTGAGTTGACGTCACATGCAGGTGGCGCATGTAAGGAAGTTAGTGTGCAAGTGAATATAAAGAGCTATGTTTCCTCCAGCATGCGAGTCTATTGTCATCATCACAGAAATACATAAACATCACAATGGTGACGAGGATACTAACGCGATCTCAACCCATGATTTGAAGTTTTGAAGAAATGCTTCCCGTACGTGAGTGAGTAAACACTATCACACAGAAGCTGTAGCCATGCAGTCGATGATGAATCAAACATCCATCCAGCCATTTGACACAGAAACAGACCCCAGTTCGTTAGGAACTTGGTGGAATAAGTGGATACAGCGTTTCGAAAACTTCATTATTGCAATGAATATTACCGGCGACGCTCGGAAGAAAGCGCTACTGCTGCACCTTGCTGGAGAACGCGTGCATGACATATATGATACGTTTGCCGCAGATGAAGATGAATACACAGAAACAAAAACGAAACTAAATAACTACTTCTCCCCTAAAAAGAATACACAATTTCTTGTTTATCAGTTCAGAAAAGCTGTTCAGCAACATGGAGAAAAACTTGACACTTATCAAACCAGACTGAGGATGCTTGCAAAAGACTGTGAGTTTGCCGATGTTGACTGTGAAATAAAAGCACAGTTGATACAAAGCTGCACGTCGTCTAGGCTGCGTAGAAAAGCACTCAGAGAACCAGATTTGACTTTGGAGGCTTTATTAGACCATGGGAGAACGCTGGAAATATCTGAGCAACAAGCAGCTGGAATTGAACAAAACCCAGTGGCCGCTGTCAGTGCTGTATATCACAATTATAAGCAACAAAGTAAATTCAAAGCAACCAACAAACAGATTTCTAACATACAATGCAGAAACTGCGGAGGACAGTATCCACATCAAGGTGTTTGTCCTGCTAGAGGAAAAGAATGCAGAGCATGTGGAAAACTAAATCACTATGCAAAAGTGTGTCGATCTAACACTACGAAACACCCTCAACAACGAAAATATAATGATCGTCTACAGTACAAACGTAACAGCAATCCACAAACAAGCAAACAAGTTGCTGCAACATGTGTCAGTAATACACAAGATGACTCATCAAGTAGTGAAGATGCATATGTGTTTGTTTTTAAACAGCAACACATGCCAACAACAGCCACAGACTGAAATAAAAATAAACGGCACCAGGGTTAGAGCTTTGATCGATTCTGGAGCTGCTGTAAATATTATTAGCAAAGCAGAATTTGACACGCTTGCACCAAAACCACAAATCAGACCAGCAACAATCAAGATTTTCGCATATGGTTCTGATACTGCTCTACCCATCATTGGAGTGTTCCAGTGCGACGTCAAAGCATCACATAGTGCTACAGAAGCTAAGTTTTATGTACTTCAGAATGATGGACACACTCTTCTAAGCTATGGAACAGCACAAGAGCTTGGATTAATAAACATCAGCAGCTCCGTTAACCATACAAGCACCATTCGTACAGTAGCTGATGAACTAATTGAAAATCATCCAGATCTGTTCAAAGGAATAGGGAAACTGAAAAACTTTCAAGTGAAGTTGCACATTAATCCAGATGTTCAACCTACATGTCAGCCACACAGACGTGTGCCATTCCACATTCGACAGAAAGTGGAAGCTGAACTACAACAACTGACAAACAATGACATCATAGAAATAGTTACAGGTCCAACGCCATGGGTTTCCCCTATTGTGACTCCACCCAAACCAAAAGATCCTGATTAAGTCCGAATTTGTGTTGACATGCGCCAAGCTAATATAGCCATACAACGTGAGCGTCACATAACGCCCACCATTGATGATGTCATACAAGAGCTAAACGGTGCAAAAGTGTTCTCAAAACTTGATCTTAGAGCTGGTTACCATCAGCTAGAACTTCATCCAGACAGCCGATACATCACTACATTCACCACTCATCTAGGACTAAGGAGATACAAAAGGCTTAATTTTGGCATATCATCTGCTGCAGAAGTGTTCCAAAATGCCATAGCACAAACGCTACAAGGCATAAAAGGTGTAAAAAACCTCAGCGATGATATCATTTTTTATGGTGCCTCACAGAGAGCACATGATGAAGCGCTCCAAGCTGTTTTTCAGAGACTACAAGACATGGGTCTTACACTAAATCGTGAGAAATGTGAGTTTAACAAAAACAGACTTGAATTTTATGGATTCATTTTCTCTGACAGTGGCATCTCAGCAGACCCCAAAAAAGTTGCAGCCATTCTACAAGCCAGTGAACCCAAGGATCAAGGTGAAATTCGGAGCCTACTAGGGATGGCAAACTACTGTTCACGATTTATACAGGACTTTTCGACAATCTGTGCACCTCTTCGTGATCTAACTAAAAAAGACACACCTTGGCAGTGGGGTGAAATGCATAAGCAAGCTCTACAACAGCTCAAAGATGCTTTAGCCCGTGCCACCACTGTATCATACTTTGCCCCCCTAAAAGACACTGAACTTGTTGTAGATGCCAGTCCAGTTGGGCTTGGTGCCATTTTATCACAAACACAAAATGGTCAAAAAAATGTCATTGCATATGCCAGTCGCGCACTCAGCGACACTGAAAAACGATACTCGCAAACTGAACGCGAGGCTCTAGCCATTGTATGGAGCTGCGAGCATTTTCATTTGTACATTTACGGTCATCCTTTTACTTTAGTGACTGACCACAAGCCTTTAGAACTGATATGGAACAACCCAAGATCAAAGCCACCAGCCAGAATTGAACGATGGGGCCTCAGACTCCAGCCATACCAATTCAGAATAGAATACAGAAAAGGAATTGACAATCCTGCTGATTTCATGTCCAGACACCCTGTGCCACTTGATGTAGAATGTAACACTAGGGCATCCAAAGTGGCAGAGGAGTATGTCAATTTCATGGCTCTGCAGTCAACACCGAAAGCCATGATGATAGATGAGATAAAAACTGAGACAAAGAAGGATGCCGTGCTCCAGCAGGTTTGCTCCTGCATAAGAAACAACTCATGGCACATAAATACACGAGACTCACTCTTTGCTGACACACTAAAACAGTACAGAAATGTCAGTTCTGAACTCACTGTGTCTCCGAACGATGATCTCATTCTCAGGGGCTCTAGAATAGTCATACCATCTACTCTAGAGCAAAGAGTCTTAGATCTTGCTCATGAGAGCCATCAAGGGGTTGCTAAAACCAAAAGTCTTCTGAGAGAAAAGATATGGTTTCCCAACATTGATCGGAAAGTTGAAGTCATAACTACAAATTGCATTGCTTGCCAAGCAAATACCCCCATCACGCATGTCGAGCCGCTTCAAATGTCAGAAATGCCAGAAGCACCATGGCATAATCTGAGTGCGGATTTCTATGGGCCATTACCATCTGGCGAATATCTGCTAGTCGTTATAGATGACTACACTCGCTATCCTGTAGTCAAAATTCTCCATTCTACATCAGCAACTACTGTGATACCAGCTATTGATGATGTTTTTTCTATGTTTGGAATTCCCAAAGTGCTTAAAACTGACAATGGCCCTTCCTTCAACAGCAACATGTTCGCACAATTTGCTGTCTACAGTGGGTTTCACCATAGGAAAATAACACCTTTCTGGCCACAAGCTAATGCTACAGCAGAGAGATTTATGCGTACTTTAGGGAAAGCCATTCGAATTGCTCACACTCGAGGTCTCCCTTGGAAACAACAGTTAAATGTTTTCCTTCGTGAGTACAGATCCACACCTCATTGCACAACAGGGACTTCTCCGGCTGAACTGCTCTTTCAAAGGAAGATGCGCACAAAAATTCCCATAGCTACTTCAAGTATCATCAGTGTGGATGATGTTGTCCGCAAAAGAGACAAAAGCGCAAAGGATAAGATGAAAGCTCTTGCAGACACTCGAAAACATGCCACACACATTAACATCAAACCTGGGGACACTGTATTGTGCCGGCAACAGAAACAGAACAAACTAACGACACCATACAGTACAAAGCCACTCACAGTCACCAGAGTCAAAGGCACTATGGTAACTGCAGAACGCCAAGGACACTCTATCACAAGGAACTGCTCTTTCTTTAAAAGACTCAACCAGGAGATGCCTGAGCTTTTGTTTGAGCCAGGACATGGAGATGAAACAGAAGAAAATGTCACACATACAGTCCCTCCAAAATATCCTTTCAGGCACAACCGTAGGCCTCCTGCCTACCTTTCTGATTATGTTTAGGTAAAAAAAATAAATAAATTGCATTAAAGTTCTACAATGCACATGAAACAGACTGTTCAGATTTTTCAAGTATTCATGTCGCATAGGAATTTTAATTGTTGCAGAGTTTTCTATGATTGGCAACAGTTAATACTTAAAATAGTTTGTTGCATAGTTATTATTGCATATTAAAATGTTTGTAAAAAAAAAAAAAAAGGAGTGATGTAACATATGCATTTGGATGTGACCTGTGAAGTCACGTGAGTTGACGTCACATGCAGGTGGCGCATGTAAGGAAGTTAGTGTGCAAGTGAATATAAAGAGCTATGTTTCCTCCAGCATGCGAGTCTATTGTCATCATCACAGAAATACATAAACATCACACCTGACTTTCATTTCACAGCCTTTCATCTTGTTATGCTTAAACTACTAAATGAAAACAGGAACATTTCCGGTGGCTGAAAAGCACTTCCCTGTATATAATTGTAGCGTACAGTCCACAGATAAAATTTCTTATGGATTTTATCACGGTCTGGTTTTGGTCGACAGGTTTTATGACTCCTGGCTCCAAGAAGTCTGGATTTTCGTGACAGCTTAATTTGTTCAGGGGGGACTGGAAAGATAAGCAGGAAAGCTTCAAAGACATTCCTGCCCAAATACATACACACACACACACACACACACCCACGAGGCTGTTCTGACAGAAAGAAAATGCACTCAGAAATCCTGAAACAGCACAAAACTAAAGTGTTATGTTTTGTAAACTTTGTACCTCATTTCTGAGTTTTCTTACCTGTGTAACCTCTCTTATAACCTGTATGCCTGTGCCTTTTAGGCCTTTTTGAAGCATAAATATTATGAGGATGTGAAAAATTATGTCGATGTACTTTTAAAACCCCCATGTTTGGTACCGATGGGTTTCTGCTGACATTTTACAGCACATGATGCATATAGCAAGATCATAACTAGCATTGCTTTATTCTTTAATCCCCTGTATTAAATGCCTGTCCGCATGCTTTGGGCGGACACTCAAATTTGCATACGAGGAGCCTCGAGACAAAGAAAGGGTTCCCCTGAAATCATTGGTCAGAATGCTGTACGGGTTGTCACGTGACCCGCAGGTATAAGCACACTTCCCCCCAAACATCTGGGCAGAAAGAGAACGTCCTAAAAAGGAACATCATTGACGGTGGCCTATGGAAGTTTTTTCCTAACAAAATTAAAATGAAAATTCAAATGCTTAAAAGATCAAATGATAAATCAAATGCTCAAACTATAAATCAAATGCTCCAACCGACATTGCAAATGATAAATCAAATCCTCAAACTGACTCTGCAAATGATAAATCAAATGCTCAAACGGACTTTGCAAATGGTGAATCAAATCCTCAAACCGACTCCTCAAAATATAAATCAAATCCTCAAACTGACATCGCAAATGATAAATCAAATCCTCAAACTGACATCGCAAATGATAAATCAAATCCTCAAACTGACATCGCAAATGGTGAATCAAATGCTCAAACTATAAATCAAATCCTTAAATCGACATTGCAAATGGTGAATCAAATGCTCAAACGACTCCGCAAATGGTGAATCAAATGCTCAAACAGACATCGCAAATGGTGAATCAAATGCTCAAACAGACATCGCAAATGGTGAATCAAATGCTCAAACAGACATCGCAAATGATAAATCAAATGCAAATGAGGTGTCAATCAACCAGCATAGGCGGAGCTTTAAGGCGGAAGAGTTTGTTGTTGACAACAACCGGTAGCGCTACGACTTTTTCAAGGCGTTCAGATTTGCGTGCACTATTCCATGTCGTATCCGTATAAACTCGTGAAAGAGAAAGCGAGAAATCTCCTACTGCTTCTGTCCACATTCTGAAGTGTTCATCAGATGGGTACATCTATCATAGGAGGCCACGAAAAACCATACGGAAAGATGATGATGCTACGTCACATTGTGGAAAACTGGATGGATTTAGACTTCTTACATGCAACTAATTAAATCCAGAAAGACGGTTCCTTGAGTTAAGTTACAGTAAAATAGCAATAGTTGAGCTACTGTACAGTGAACTGTAGAATTACTGAAAGTGTAAAGATGCTTTACAGTATATTTATTTTATCTTGCTGTAAATTATCATGTAGGAACTTCTGTAAGCACATGACGTTTCAAACGTTAATTTACATAAAGACGATTATTCAATGTCTGACAGAAAAATATAGGAGGTATTGCAGATTAGCAAATTATAACATTAAACAGACGTCTGAGTGATTTGTTTGTGTTGATGTAGAATGCACTTTTGTCAATACAGCTTAGGTTAGATACATGTAATATTAATACAGTAATGTTTTCTTCTGTTCAGTTGGTGATACATTTATGAAAGTATAATTTTGAGCACACAAATCACAGAGGTAATATGACTTGTCTAATTGTTATAGAGAAGGAAGCACACATGTTTGTGTGTTAGCTGATGCAGAGTGACTGAACAAATGCTACCATCATATTTGTTTAATATTGTTGTTTCAAACTGCTATTACAACAATTTCTTTAATGTTGATTTATATGCCATTTCTGGGCTGGAGCAGGACTTGCAAGGCAAGAAAACAGAGAAAACCTGAATTCAAAACATGAAGTAAGATCATGTTATTACTTCCAATTCAGAACTCAAATGAAACTCAAAAAGTGTGCTGTTAAATGACTTCTTTATTAAGAGCTTTGCATAATCTGAAATGTCCTCAGACTGGTGTGTGCAGTGATGATGATGAAGAACAGCAGTGTGCTGATGAAGTAAATGTTGAAGATGCTGTAGTGCCATGGACAAGACCCTGCATCCCTCCACCTGCATGCGTGTCCTCATCTGAGCCAGATGCTGGTGTGGTCTCTTCATCTTCAGTATGAATCGGTTTCTCAGGCATGGACAGCCTCACCTCACAACTCTGTTCCAGTCTGACTGCAGCACTGAGGGATGTGATGGCAAAAACAAGTGAAGTCCAGAAGTCCAGCATGCAGCAGAACATGGGGTTTTGTCTGAAATACATGATTGTTTGAATAAGTTTGAATAAAGCTTAGTTTCGTATCTTGTTGACTTGTATTTATTTATCATGGTTACTATTATTAATTCTTTTAATCATACATTCATATTTTCTTTAATTGTTGATGAATACATTAATAATTTCAATAATGTATAACTACATTATTTCATTTTTTGACTGGAAATTAAGATGTACTCACCTTGGCTACATTTGTCTAGTGACTATTCATGCATAGCTGTGTGTGTGTGTTTGTGTGTGTGTGTGTGTGTGTGTGTGTGTGTGTGTTTGTGAACAGCATTTATTATTTTTGTAAGTGTTGGGGTGGGCTTTGCAGTCTAGAGTAAATACTCACATTTTTCGAGTGTAAAATTTCTCCAAAGGAAGATCTTCAAGCAGCTGTCCGGCATCTTTGTGCAGATGTACCAATGTGCCAACATTAGAAAGGCTATCAGGTAGGGTTATCAAGTTACTGATGCTATTAGGTGTTATTGCTTCTGTCCCTGCTATTTTATTTGTATTATTATGGGATTGTTATCAATAACAATTATTATTAATCATTATTATGCAGAAATAAAAATTTCATACAGGCTTAGGGAAACATTGCTGTATCTTAACAATTAACATAAACAGCAAAAAGAGAACAAATGTAATAGATTTTCTTTTGATATAGGAATATATGATGATATAATCAAACAAGACTGGAAAACTAACTTTAAGCATTTTTTACATGTGAATAAAAAAGTTACACAATAAAGGTAACAACAAATTAGGTTACATTTGACAAGGATATCTTATGTAATAAAATATTATTTTAAATTAAGATTTAATAAACCTACCATTTATTTAAAGTTGCGCTTAACGTCAGTTATGTAACTTTTTTTTATCATCTTGGTTATCGTATGGTTTTTCGTGGCCTCCTATGATAGATGTACCCATCTGATGAACACTTCAGAATGTGGACAGAAGCATTAGGAGATTTCTCGCTTTCTCTTTCACGAGTTTATACGGATACGACATGGAATAGTGCACGCAAATCTGAACGCCTTGAAAAAGTCGTAGCGCTACCGGTTGTTGTCAACAACAAACTCTTCCGCCTTAAAGCTCCGCCTATGCTGGTTGATTGACACCTCATTTGCATTTGATTTATCATTTGCGATGTCTGTTTGAGCATTTGATTCACCATTTGCGATGTCTGTTTGAGCATTTGATTCACCATTTGCGATGTCTGTTTGAGCATTTGATTCACCATTTGCGATGTCTGTTTGAGCATTTGATTCACCATTTGCGATGTCTGTTTGAGCATTTGATTCACCATTTGCGATGTCTGTTTAAGCATTTGATTCACCATTTGCGGAGTCGTTTGAGCATTTGATTCACCATTTGCAGAGTTGTTTGAGCATTTGATTCACCATTTGCAATGTCGATTTAAGGATTTGATTTATAGTTTGAGCATTTGATTCACCATTTGCGATGTCAGTTTGAGGATTTGATTTATCATTTGAGGAGTCGGTTTGAGGATTTGATTCACCATTTGCAAAGTCCGTTTGAGCATTTGATTTATCATTTGCAGAGTCAGTTTGAGGATTTGATTTATCATTTGCAATGTCGGTTGGAGCATTTGATTTATAGTTTGAGCATTTGATTTATCATTTGATCTTTTAAGCATTTGAATTTTCATTTTAATTTTGTTAGGAAAAAACTTCCATAGTGGCCCTCGGCAAAGTAAATTCAGTTTAAAGTTTGCGATCTTGTTCGTCCGAACTGCATTACAAACTCCACGCATCAAAGCACATCAAGAGTAGTTTTCATCACGACGGAAGAGAGACGCATAAAAGAGACCTCCAGACATGAAAAACCAGGTGATTTTAGTTATGCGATTAAGCTGTGCCCCTTTTATCAAAAAGGTGTTTTTTATAACCTTGGTGGTCCGTAATGGTGCGTGTGGAACTGAAAGTTTTGTCACTCTTTTACCTGAAATCTATATTTCCTAGCTTTACTATGTCTCTTTGCTGTTACACGTTCTATTGACCCGATATCTCCACGTGGTTTACCTTTGTTTTGTGTTTAATGTATGTTTGTGCGTTTGTTTGTTCGTTACGTCTGACTAGTCAATAAATTCCATTATAATCAAATGAATTGTATTGTTTGCCTCACGAGAAAATGTCACTGAAATACAGATTCCCCTGCCTAGCTATTATAAGTTGTTTAAAACTTTTGAATGATTAATCTACTTCACAAGAAGTAGCAATTAAATTCCCTTTTTCTAAATGAATAGATGCCGTGTCCGCTCGGAAGAGCGGCGGCTCTGCTTGTGTTCGTTTGGTCAAATTAACAATGAATTGATCCGGAATATTAATGATTAATAATAATTCGTTATTGTTGATAATTAATATTCATAATCTGGGAATCCGCTCGGTCGCGCGAGCATGATCATTTACAATCATATGTTTTGTTTGACCAAATTGACTGAAGCTTAAGCCGGAATATTAATAATTAAGAATAAACTGTTATTGTTGATTATTAATATTTATAAAATGAGCTAATTTCATGTTACATAATAACAATAATAAAATAATAATAATAACAATAACTTTTTACATTTATATAGCACTTTTCTGGACACTCCAGACACCAGCTGATTGGTGGAGAGAAGACAGAATGATGAAGCCTATTATGATATAGGGATGGTTAGGAGGCCAGTGTGCAAATTTGGCCAGGATGCCAGGGTTAAACCCCTACTCTTTTTCAATTCAATTCAACTGTTTATTGTCATGTGCACAGTAAGGAAACACGTCTCCCTGTACAATGAGATTCTTACTTTGCCGTCCACAGTGAAGTCATACACACAACATACACATCATTCACAACATACACATAAATACACATATATACACATACGAAGGGCATGTTGGGATTTTTAATGACCTCGGTTTAACATTTCATCCGAAAGATGGCACTTACTGAGCTGTAAGAGTCCCTATCAAAATACTTGGCCCACACAGGGCATTAGGGCCCACACAGACCAAAGGCTGCTCCCTGCTGGTCTCACTAACACAACTTCCAGCAGCAACCTAGCTTTCCCATGTGCTTCTGCTTTGAGGAGATTTTAGCTGAATCCAACACTGAACTGGGAGAGATCCTGGAGCTGTTTTGTCAAATCATGTTTGCTCTGTATTTTATAATTCTCTGGTACATAATTAATATTGAACTGTAAGCACTTCTGTGTTTGTGTTGTGTCATTTGGAAGCCTAAATACAGAAACGGACGAAGCTCTGTGGAAATAGCAGCGTTTAAACGCATTTTAGCTTCATCTTTGCTATAACATTACAGCGCCTCTGGCCAGGTGCCTTACCTGCTTAGTCTGGATGCGCAGTAAACAAACTTTTATGATCTCACAGGGGGCGGAAGTATTTTTTTGTAGTCCCCAAAATTTGTTCATTGTAGGCTTTGCTAAGCTAACTATGTAAAACCCAAGGTCTCCCTTTGCATTGAACTTTTTACATTCAAAGATGTTGTTTATGTTCACACAGCTACATTACACATTAACTAAAGTTTAAAATATGATATCATAGTGGACCACCCCTTTAAAAAAACTATTTCTGTAACATTCAAGTAAGAAATCACCTATGACAACACCCTTAACTACACGGCTCCTCTTGCTTCCCCTACCTGACATCCAGCACATTACCACTCAGCAGAGCACACCAATAAGTCCGCAGTTTTAACACAGGGCAGCTGGCCTTCACGTACGGCCGCCGCAGCTCCCAACGCCGGGGAGGCCCAGACTGATCGAGCTCCCAGCACTAGCTGTATTTCCACTGGCATTTAGATACAGCGATTGATAATGCTCTGCTCGTGGTAATATAATATTATTATTATTATATGTATTATTTTAAGTATACAATATGCATTAGACTATTTAACCTATACAAATGATTATGTCAGCTTGAAAAAATACAGAAACTTTCCAGCGATCAGTTCAATATGGCAAGCCAGATTTACATTAGTTCAAGTCCATTCTGTATGACAAGCCCCATTTGTACGTATGCATTTAACTAAAATAACTTATCATTAAATATTTTATGCTGTTATATATATTTTACAGCACTTATTTGTACAATAGTTACTTGTTATTCGATTAGTCATTAGTGCTACTTATATTACTGATACATAATCACTATGATGGCATGAGAAACCAACATTCTGTCATTCTATTTTAAGTTAATTTAAGAATGATATTTTCTATGCTATGACAATATGGCAAGCTATTTTTCGCTAAGTCCAAGTCCAGTTCTTACTGCCATAGAGACATCTGGGTTTATTTATATCATTCACACAAGAAGCTGTGGTGTACCATCACACTAAGCTGTCAATCAGATCCATAGCAACAAACAGACTAACCCTTTAACAATTTATCAACTGTTTTCCTTCAGCATCAGAACAGCTGGGTATTGGCTTGTTTGACTCATGCTAGAAAATGGGATTTCTTGTTCTACACTCGCCAACAGTGATTAGCTACATACTAATGATGATAAGCTTAATGCTAGAACATGCTAGAAACGCTTGCTACTGTAAGCATTGGGTTTTGATCAAACATGTAAATGAGGCTTCCCAGTTAACAACCCAGTGAACCCCAGCAACTGCCTAGGAACCACTCAGAACAACCTAGCTATCACCTAGCAGAGAAACCCCCTGAACTAGCAGTTCACGCCATACTCCATTCCCCTAACCTACTTCTTCCTGCCACACTCAGACCAACCCAAACCTTATAAATTACAACCTTAAGAAGCCATGCCCCCAGCCGCACTGCCTGCAGACTCTGCCTCCAATAACCTCGGATCACCCTCTGCCCTTCAACAATCAATCATCTCCAGGACCTTATTAAGTTATTCTCAGCATCCATGGCTGATCTACACATTCTATGAGCATTGCACGTAATGTAATACAGAGGGAGAGCGATCTAAGGACAGAAATCAAGACACCTTGCCAAATTTTACGTATATGCAGAAACTCTGGCAGCTGTTCTTAGAAGTGGAGTCCCACGCTACCCCTGCCCCTCCCTATTCAGGAATGACATGGCTGCGAACCACCTCTGTGAAACCTCCATCACCCCCAAAAACCCAGTGGAAGTCTTCCAAAGACTTCATCCCATTCATTTCTAATATCCACGCTACAAGAAAATCCAAATTAGTTCTACTAATACCCATGCTTTGGTCCTCTGAGATGTCTATAACTTCCAACCCCAACAAGCCTTTACGCAGATGATGCTAACCATCTCATAACATGACACTGATTCCAAAAGCACCTAAAGGTCGTGCTTTCGGGTTTTACCCAGACCCTTGTAAGATTCCAGAATATCAGACCCTGAGAACTATGGAATTGGAATTTCATGAGACAAGACGATAAGAATTGATATGCAATACAACAATAGCCTTTCTGATATGAGAAGAAGAACAGGAAAGCAGCTGTTCAGCGGTTCTATTCAAATCACTGTTGACAATGCAAACACAGGCTGGAAAAACAGAATTACACCACACCAGGGGGTAATACAAGAAAGTTCACTGTTCTCCTTTCACTTTAAGCCCCCCTTCTTGACCCTTAAGTTACCTTCTGATCAGAGCAAATAATTTACATTTTCACTTAAAATGTCCAAGGTTTTAATATGGTGTATCATGTAACACTTTATTCATGTTTGGTATCATTTTAAATGTCTCTGTGTAATTGGTCTTAATTTCACAGTATATTTCCACTTGTATATGTCGATTTGGTTTTTGGCTTTGATAAGATCTTTGCCAGATGCTCTCCCTCCTTAGAGATGGTTAACTCCTTAAAATCACAAGGCAAGGGTCTCTGTGACGCTTCTATTGTCTTGAATTTATGGCTGTTAGTTTTGACTTGAGTATATAAGGTAAAGATGTGATATGGGTCAGGGGGGATCTTGTAGAAAGACACAACGTTGCAGCATCTTTGAGACTTATGCTGCAACGTACTTCTCTGGTCAGGTGTGCATCCATAACTCTTTGAATTATCTGAGTAATGGATGTTGTATTGTTATAGTCTCATCTCTGAATTGGCTTCCTGATGGTTTTATTATGTAATTGGCAGAATACAATTTAAATACAATAAAAATACTAATAAAATACAAATAAAATGTTAAGTTTTGATTCATTCTGAATTCTCCTGAAATCTTTTATA